ACAGTAAGCTATGTTTAAACGTAGTTAATGTGATAGGAAAATGCATTTTTATGAATAGTATACGGTCGACTATCACTCAAGTCAAGTAGATATCATTTGAAATCTAATATAGACTGTAACGTAGACAAAATGTAGAATAAAAGAATATCAAAGATAGCTTGAAAGGAAATAAAAGTAAAGAGCGGGATATAATCAAGGAAAGAAAGAGTTAACAAAAAGGTCAGCTACTAATTAGATAAAAAAAATATATCAATGCTTATATCATAGAGCTTTTCTTTCATTGCATTTTTTTTTCAAAGAAGAAAATGGCAAGTTAAAATGCTATCCATAATTATATCCATGACATTCCTTCTTCAATTGATTGATCTTACTTTAGCAATATAGAAGAAGCATATCAATCTTAGTGAATAATACAATTTTCGTTGTTTATTTCATTTTTCATATAGCAGTGTAGAACCATTTGAGAAAGGCGATGCTTTTTCTAACAGATAATTCAAGATTTTGATTGTACATGTTAGCTTTATCTAATGTTCCGATTCGATGTTGCTGTCAAAAAACAACTTTTACACGATGAAAATATGCACTAAGTTCCAGATGATCTTATAATTTACGGGAATTTCTGATAAAGAATATAGTTTCATGGATTTATAATTTTTTACAAACACCATCTGAAAACACTAGCTTCCAGTATTTAGTTTGCTTTTTGAATTATTTGAATATTTTAGAAAATCTTAACATTCTTGTCAAGACCAAATACATGTTGATTCTTTCACAGTAATCATTGAAGGAATATTTTCAAATTTCTACTTGAATATTGTTACGATGCTGGTAAATAGATTTGATAGAATGTCTTGTATTGGATTCTATAATTATGACATCTTGATCTACTTAAAAGAAAAAGTTTTTAGGCGCAGTCATTTTGAGCCTGAAATCTGAAACTCACATATTTCCTTCAGGTTCATTATACTAATAAGAAAAGCAGAAAGTGTAAAATCAAGACTTTTTTATTCTCTTTACAATTATTTGTTTTTTTTTAATTAAAATTATTATTATTATAAGCATCGAGTTAAATGGCAAGCAAGGCTATGATATAATTCTGATTACTAAGGTCTGTGATGAGAAGAAGGAAAGAGAGGATGGAAGTCGCAAAAATATGAACTTAAATCTTACGCTTCTTCAGAATTATATGTAAGATCGACAAAATCGATAGCATAATGTTACAGCTATAGGTCAACAATTCTTGTTGTATTTAGCATATTTCGATGAGATTGTTTTCAAAATAGCTTATTATCAGTGAATATGAAGAATATACATCGAAAAATCGATTCATCAATTAAAAACTTTATCAATTATCAATATAATATTTTAGATAGATTTTCTGCGATGAAGGCTTGATATAGTTTTAATAACGTTATGTAATTAGAGAAACAAATTTAAAATGAAGGAGTTTGAATATTATATGAAATATGAGGACAATTTGAGATAGAAGTTTAATACTTTATTTTAACTACGTCAAAAGACAAGAAAGAAAATTTTTTCTAATCATTAATTATAATAAATTTAGATAAGACTATTGAGCAATGAAAAAAGCAAAGTATAAGTCATTTCAATTATGACGTTAGTCAATTAATTCGGTAAAATGGAATTCCGACAAAAAGAATTTCGCCATCTGAATTTCGACGATGTCCAAATTGTAGTAGAATTTCGACATGTTTCGAAATTCTACTAGAAGTTGGACAACATTGTCGAATTTCTACAATTGTTGATATTCTTATGGAATTACGGCAGAATTTTTTTTTTGCTGGACATTTTATTGTCTATTTTCCATAAGAATTTGGACAATATCTATTCAAAAATATATAAATAGAGGTATATATATAATTACGAAAGTTTTAATTTATATGGCATCTAGTGATGTGAATGCTGTGATATCACTATTTCTTTTTAAGCAGACATTATTTTAATTTTTTTAAAACTTTATATTTTAATCGTAACGAGGTTATTATTCGATATTCTTGATATTTTCTTTTTTTTTAAGATGAAAGTTTATTGTTCCACATAGTGTTAACAGACACTGATACAGTTATGAGAATAAAAAATAAAGATAAACATAAACAGCTATTTCTCTTTTCTCTCGCTTAGCTGTCGTCATCTCCTTTGGACGTCTGAAATATATATATATTAACAAAAAAATAAAAATAGTATATAGGTTCATGTAGTATAAGATGTTAAAGAATGATAGAGAAAACACTGGATGATGGAAATGAATTACAAAGTAATTCAAAAAAGTTGAATTACAAAATAATTCGAAATTTTTATATTCTACCAGGGTCTACTAGGACCTCCAGGATCTGCCGGAGTTTATTAGGGTCTACTACGGTCTCGATATCAGTGCCACCAAACAGTCTACATCACCTCTCTCTTGGTGTGGGTGCGGCGAAGCGACTTACATCACGTTTCCTTCGATGTGGGTACCGCAAAACTCTAGTAGACCCTGGTAGATCCTGGAGGTCCTGCCAGATTCTGCCAGATTCTGGTAGATCCTGCTAGATCCTACTAGGTTTTACTAGATCCTACTAGATCCTGTTAGATCCTACTAGATCCTGCTAGGTCCTACTAGATCCTGCTAGGTCCTACTAGATCCTGCTAGGTCCTACTAGATTCTACTAGATCCTGCTAGGCCCTACTAGATCCTACTAGATCCTGTTAGATCCTGCTAGACCCTTATAGTTCCTATTTCAAAGTAATGGTTAACAGAAAAGAATTCTAATAAGAATACAAATGCAAATATTGGGTGAAATGCTTACGAAATTTATATTGGTAATTCTAACAGAAATTATATTCAGAATTTCTCTTAGCTTCTATGAAGATTTTGAATTATTTTGTAATTCATTTACGTCATGAACTCATACACATGACATAAACGAATTGTAATAGCATCGAAAAAATTTAGACAAAGAACATAATTTGCCGATTCTTCATGAGAAAGGTCTGAACGAAATTTTCTCAGCTGTTCAGAAGGGTACATGTCCACTGATGTTAGGGAAACACGAAAGTTCGATTTTTTTTGCCTCTGTATTTTACTACAAACATTACGTTAATAGCCGCCATTTTCTCGATGCTATTACAATTCGTTTATGGGTGTGGATGTGGGCGTAGGTGTGGGTGGGTGTGGGGTGTGGGTGTTAGTGGGGTGTGCGTGAGGGTGTGGGTGTGGGTTCTGCATTTTTCTAGTCTTACACTCACCCTCACCCACACCCCACACCCTCACTGTTTGTGAAATAAAGCCAGCCCCATTCTAACAGGGTGTGGGGGTGGGTGTGGGTGTGGGTGTGGGGGTGGGTGTGGGTGTGGGTATGGGGCTGGGTGTGGGAGTGGGGGTGNAATAAGTGTCTCATGTATAAGTGTGATCATCTTGCAAAGTTTCATCCACCAAGCATTTATCGACCCTAATATCTATCAAAAATGTATTCGCATGAATTTCTCAATTGCAATCAATAAAATAGAAACAACTGTATATTTTGAGAAACTGCTCATCAAGCGAGTACGACTCTTGTCAACATGAGACGAATTTTTACGCAGAATATTTAGCAAACCATTTATGCACTTGTTTAAAGACTTATCTAGTATATTCATAATCCTTTGCTGATGAGTCATTTAGAAAAACGCATTTTCATATTAAACTGTTTACTTGTTCAGTGAGAATAAATATTTGTTCAGCTTTGATTTTCTAAATTTTGATAAAAAGTTTTACATTAAAATATTCAGACTTTCAGATTCAATGTAACATTCAATGGAACAAAAAAATAATTAATTACTCATGTGTGCTGAAAAATAATTTTATTTTTGTTATTTTTAAATAAATTACTAAAAGACTATCAACACTGTATGCTTTATTGTAATGAAGCTTCTCTTTCTTACAGGATAATTTGTTTTTTTTTCATTCTCCCTTTTCCAATATTTTGCAATGTACAATCTGTGTTTTAGTGTACTCTTGATTGTTAATGAAGAAAGATAGATATTTCTTTATCTTGATTTAATAAAACTAAGATTTTATTTATTTCTAACAGATGAAAAAAACTCAAGTTTTAAAAAACATGAAAATTTATTATTAAAAAGGGTGTGGGTGTGGGTGGGTGTGGGGTGTGCGAATATGGGCATGAGTGTGCAATCGAGATGAATACACACACCCACACCCACCCACACCCTTCCATCTAGCGCATCAGATGGCGCAACGATCGTGTAATACTTACCTTTTTTTCGGAATAACTTTTTCCAACATATCTATGCAGCTACACAATTTATTTTATCGTTCGGTCGCCTACACTTGGAAATTTCACAATAAAATTAGTAATTGCATCATGTTACTTTTATTATTATTCATTCCGACTGGGTATTGTTTTATTGACATTCCACGACAAAGCAAAACAAAATTGACCAATAGAATTTTTCGATGAATACTGAAAAATTGTTGAAAAAGTTGAAAAGCATTATTTCATAACGAAACAGTCCAGTTTATGAACATTCTTCTCTGGGAATGAGCTTAGATTAATATCAGAAACTTGCAAGTTCAAGTACACTGGCACGCGAAAATAACAAAATTCTTTCTGATTATTGTCTTCAAGTCTATGTATCATTGAATTTGAATCGAGAAAACCGCTAGCTAGTTGAGCCTTAGCCTAAACACTTATGTTTAGATGTCCAAAGTAGAAGATTTAAATCTTACTATAAGTTTCTAATGCGAAAGAGATATAAATCATCGATATAAGCCAGAAATTTTATTAAAAATCTCTATACTTCTTCTCAATTTACAGAATTTTGTTTTCACAGAAAACTTGAACTTGCAAAATGCCTTTTCAGAAATCACTAGAAGTTTTAAAATCTTATATAAATATAGATATCATCTCTTTTATACTTTATTAAATAGATAAAGCAAAATGTCGATTGCAACCAAATTTTCAACTGGTACATTGAGTGTTGCATCTAATAAATACAAATCGATGGATGATTCAGTGAAATCATTCTATAAGAAGAAAGAAGACTCTCAAAATCTTGCCACTATTACTAATCGAATACAAACACTAATTAAACTAGTAAAGGGACCAGGCGTTCATTCTGTCAGCTATATGTCTGCTGCCGGTTTTGAATATACAAATGATGGAGACACAGCTCGTTGTAAAGATTGCGGGCTTGAAGTACCCAACTGGGCATCAGACATGAATCCATTTACTATTCATTCAAAAAGTCAACCTAATTGTCCATTCATACATTCTATAATACTAATTTCATCATTAAATGTACTTGCGCCTAGCAAGTTACCAGCCAATACTACTCAAAATATATCTGTCCCGACTGTAGAAGAAAATATTTCGACTTTTCAAAAGGTAAAAACGATGAATTTCGGATCATTATCTAATACTTTAGTGGAAGTCGATTCACTTCGTCAAGTACGAATACGTACTTTTTCTCATTGGCCACATCATACTGTTCCATCAAATTCACAAATGATTGAAGCTGGATTTTTTTGTTGCAATGTTGGTGATCGAGTAATATGCATCTATTGTAATCTTATTTGTCAACAATGGATATCATATATCGATGATCCATGTGAAGTACATAAAACACTTTCTCCTAATTGTATTTATGTCAAAACAAAATTGATGAATCCTGTAGTTTCATCAATAGCTATTGTCAACGAAAGTTCAACTACAAATATTGCTTCATCAACATCAAATAATCTCAGTTCTATACGAACTAATGATATTGTCTTTAGAGCATCATGCAATCCTACTTATTCAGAAATACTAAAACGCCAGGCATCGTTTGCTACGTGGCCAAATGAAAATTTACCACAAGTAGATGATTTGGTTCGAGCAGGATTTTTCTATACAGGTGCAGCAACCATTGCTACTTGCTTTTATTGTAATGGATCATTACAAAATTGGGGTTCCAATGATAATCCAATGATTGAACATGCTCGTTGGTTTCCATATTGTGCATATGCTAAACAATTGTGTGGTGAAGAACTATATCGTAAAATTCAAGAATCTAAACGAATTCAACAAAGTAATTTATGAAAAATCATTAATTTTTACTAAAAATTTATTCATTTTTTTTTTTGGTAGAACGTGCTAGAGCTAAAGAATTAAGAGAAGAAGGAGGCTCAAATGATTTGATGAACATTAATGTAACAGAAAATAGTGGAAAATTATTAATACCTGATGAAAGTACTTTATCCAGACTGGTTGCGGCACGATTAGACCTATCCATTTCACAGCATTTATTAGATCAACATTTTAAATTATCTATTGTAAAACGATGTTGGGAAGACCAATTACGAATAAAGCGTGCGTTAATCAATAGACTATTGTTTTACATTTGTTTTTACTTATTTTTATTCAGATGATGATTTTGTATCGGATTGTGATTTATACATTGCTTGTTTAATTCTTCGAAAACAAATCGAACATATCGATGGTAAAAAAGAAAATATTGTTATACCAAGCATAAAAATGAAACAAATGAGAGAACAAAATGGTGAGTTTATTATAGATATGCTTCTCATTTTATGTTCTTATTGACTAGAGACAGAAATAAGCCAACAAAAATTAACTACAGCTAATGAAGTTCAATCCATAGAAAATCGTACAGATACCGAAGTGAATATGCCATCGCAATCATTAACAAGCACTGGAAATGAACGTGAAGTGCAAACAAATAAAAAAATAACTAATGTCAATGATCAAAGTCAATCATTGAATCTTTGTGTTCTTTGTATAACAGAAGAAAAAAAATTAGCTTGTATACCATGTGGTCATATGTCAACATGTGTCGCATGTGGCCATTCGTTGCGATCGTGTCCAATATGTCGACGAGAGATTGACGCATTTATTAGAATTTACATTTAACAAAAAAAATTTTTTTCTTTTACCTAATTGTAGGTAGTTACCGTCAATCAGTTTTGCATCTATTCGAAACCAGAAAATAATATTTATACTAGAAACAGCCACTTTTCAATAGCATGTAAAAGCAAAATAAATGTTCATATTGTTAGAAGTGTTGTCTTTTTGACGAAATTTGCTATTTTTTTAATCATACTTAAACAAGATATTGATATAATAAAAAATAATATATTCTAATTTCTTGATGTTGAAGACAAATGATACACACTGTACTATTTAGTGTTTGTCTACTATTTTTCTTTATACTTATCTTATGAAGTTCGCTTCTTGAGGCTATGTGATTATATTTTCTCCTTATTAGCATTCCATATAGGTTCCAAGTGATTTCATGCAACAAAAAGGAATGGTTGCGTTTCTTCTTTTGTTTTCAATGATTTTTTAAATAAAAATTTGTAAAGTTTCTCTTTAGTATAAACAGTTGTTTGCTATTGATTCGAAAAAATCACAAGCTCTATTGTTAATTATACTTTGAATGATTCAGTAGTAGATAAGTAATACATAAAAATACTTTTTCTCATGCCTTGCATCTTTCTTATATTCGTTCCAAACAGTATTCGCTGACTTACTAGTCAATCGGCTATATTTGACAACAGAAAAATGGTGGTGAAAAAATCATTACTTGATTATACTCAAAGTAGTGTTATTTTTTTTTCAAAAACTTCATTCAACAGAAAGTCAACTTAGGGAGCACGTCAAAATATATTTCGGTCGGTCGACTACTATTCGTTCATTTCTAAATTCTTTCATTCTTTCGTCTCTCTATATCGCTTGCGCAGAACACTTGATTTCGTATTGTTTTTTTTCTTATAAAATTGGGATTTCCTTGATTTTATTTCTGCAAAGATGATTAACCAGTTTTTTTGAATGTATTATTCACTAATCAATCCAGGCAAGCAAAAAATAAGGGAGCACGCCCGACATGACTAGTCTCAAATGTTCGCACTACCGTCTGGTCTAGTCTGAAATGACTTTCAACCCGTCAGGACTAGCTATTTTGACGCACAAAGTCTAGGGTGTGGGTGTGCACTGTAAAAAAAAACGGTACTTTCTGGAACCTCAAAAAAAGGTTCGGTAGATGACAATAAGTTTGCAAATGTGTTGAAAGTTTCAAAAAACGAATAAAAAAAACCCGGAACCTTTAAAGGATCTTACCGTGTACCCAAGTGAAGATCCTTTTTTCTTCGAAACCTCTTTAAGTTCCGTACACAAAAAAAAAGGTTTTGTAGG